TCATATCACATCTAGAAACAGCATGTATCATATAAACTTGTGGAATTGGACCACAAGTTCCAGAATTGCCATGCTAGGTATAAATAGAGGCCCATTCCTGAGGGACTGCAAACCTCAGAAAAAAAAAACCATAAATTTCCTGTAAGGCACAGACGCTCTATAAAATGCAAATATTGCTCCATCACATGGAGATTTACTATAGCTGTCCAGAATCAACCCATGAAATATATAGTCTCACCCCATGACTTCAAGACACATCCCACAATATGCAGACAGTCATGTACAGACCACAACACCAGGGCATGCCCTACAAGGTGAGGACATGATCCACACTCTGTAGACTCCCCTAGCACTGCATATAATTGCATCCAGAAAATCAAAATCATAAAAGTCCCAGCACCTAGAATCACTCCCACAAACCATACTCACCCCAAACCAGATGCCCATGACTGACTGGGTCCACATTTTATAGAGATAACCTATGGTAAAAAGGAATTTGAGAAGAAAAAAATATATAGAGAGAGATGTACGACAACCCACAGATTCCCTGTGTGCCATTTAGATATAGATAGGCCTTTTTTTTTTTTTTTTTTTTTTTTTTTTGAGGTGGAGTTTCGCTCTGTCGCCCAGGCTGGAGTACAGTGGTGCAATCTTGGCTCACTGCAACCTCCGCCTCCTGGGTTCAAGCAATTCTCTGCCTCAACCTCCTGAGTAGTTGGGATTACAGGTATGTGCCACCACACCCAGCTAATTTTTGTATTTTTAGTAGAGACGGGGTTTCATCATCTTGGCCATGCTGTTCTTGAACTCCTGACCTCGTGATCCACTCCTCGACCCCAACAGAGTGCTGTGATTACAAGTGTGAGCCACCACACCCAGACAATATATGCCTCTTTTAATGTAGAGAAGAAACTTGCAGTGCAGACATGTATCCCACTTGGCACAGATTGGCACTACAAGGAACTCCCTCACAGGACCTACACTTACCTATACTTTGAATAACCCACATACTTAATCACAACCTACTTTCCTATCAGAAAGACTCATGCCACAACATGAAGCTCATTATTCCAAAGCACATAGAACCAACTCTCATTGCAAAGAGACTTCCCTTCTAACAAAAAGATGTTCTCTACCACACTCAGACTTACCTCACCTCACCACACTTGACCCACATCTGGTCTTGCACCACTACACAGAGACATGCTATTTCACCCAGAACACTCAGGGTTGGCTCATGGCTTTTTTTTTTTTTTTTGAGACGGAGTCTCACTCTGTCGCTCAGGCTGGAGTGCAGTGGTGTGATCTCGGCTCACTGCAACCTCCACCTCCTGGGGTCAGGCAATTCTCTGACTCAGCCTCCTGAGTAGCTGGGATTACAGGCACCCGCCATCACACCCAGCTAATTTCTGTATTTTTAGTAGAGGCAGTGTTTCACCATGTTGACCAGGACTGATCTTGAACTCCTGACCTTGTGATCCCCCCGCATCAGCTTCCCAAAGTGCTGGGATTACAGGCATGAGCCACCACACCTGGCCTACCTCATGGTCTTTATACACTCCTACCTTAGACTCATATCAGGATGCAGAGAAGAGGCACATACAGGGAAGTGTAATCCACAATGCACATTCTCAGTCCACAACACATAGACTTGTCCCTAATTTCACAGCTGGCTCTTATAATTCCCAGACTTGCTACACAATACTTGGAAGGCCTTACAACACCTAAAAAAAGCAGTATGATAGGTACGCTCACTCTAGAACATTCGGATTCACTCATAAGGGACAAACTCAGTCAGTTACATCGAATACCCAATACCATATTGTTTGCTCCACAGAATATGAGGAGAGGGCCTAAATGCTCACACAGAGCTTTGACAAGTGACTTTATTTCTTTGAGTCTGGTTTACCCATTTGTAAACATGGATGCAATATTTACTTTTAGAATATTCCAAGGATTAAATGAGATAACTTCAGGAAAGAATCAAGGTTCAGAACATAAAATTTAGAGGCAGACTTGCCTGCTTCCAGTCCCGGCTCCACCACTCCCTGGTGCTATGACCTGGGCACATCAGATATTGAAATACTCTGTGGTAGAGCACAAGGAATATGTGTTTGGCATCTGCCAGACCTGGTTTTGAAATTTGTCTCTGCCACGTATTGGCCATATGACTGTAGGCAAGGTACTTTAATTCACTGATCTTTAATTCCTCACTTATAAATTGGGGATGATGGTGGTCCCCACATTCAAGGCTGTTGTAAGGATTAAATGATTCCTGGCATCTTAATCTAACAAGCAAGAATGTGCAGGCACAGACAGAGACTCACACCCAGTGTGTGGGTATATGTATATTATGTACACATGGATACATAGACATGCAGAAGCTCACACAGATGAATATTTGCAAGCGGTAAACATGGGGACCAAACATGTCCACACAGATATAGATGCTATCTTATATGCCTGGACTTGTGCAGAGATAAATACAGATGAATACAGATAAGGTCCCACAGACTTACATATGTACACCTAGACATGGCTACTGCCCCCAAACAAGACAAGATTTCACCCACTGAAATGATGACACACTCAAAACCCACATTGCAGGCTGGGCATGGCAGCTCATGCCTGTAATCCCAGCACTTTGGGAGGCCGAGGCAGGTGCATCACCAGAGGTCAGGAGTTCAAGACCAGCCTGGCCAACATGGTGAAATCCCATCTCTACTAAAAATACAAAAATTAGCCGGGCATGGTGGCGTGTGCCTGCAATCCCAGCTACTCAGGAGGCTGAGGCAGGAGAATCGCTTGAATCCAGGAGGAAGAGGTTGCAGTGAGCCAAGATCGTGCCATTGCACTCCAGCCTGGGAGACAAGAGTGAAACTCCACCTCAGAAAGAAAATAAACATTACAGGCACATGCACAAAGAGCACTGTAAATGTCCTTGCATATATAGACATTTAAATGCACATGCAGATGTACACTCATGCCATGTATACTCACATAGAAACACTCAAGCAGACTACATCTTAAGCATGTAAGGGACATACACATATTTCTAGATAATACCTACCCAAATACACTCTAAATGATGCATATGTACATATAGATAGCCACTGGCACACAAATGCACAGATGTAGAGACATGCACCCTCACATGTCAACATATATACACACTGGCATGCACATATCCACATACACTGATCTACAAATGTATTCCTATGTTCATGAAATACAAGTCCTAAATGCACATTGAATATATGAATATACATGCATGCATGTGCTAGTGTCAGTACGTGGATGCATTCACGGACTTAATCATGCCATAGACAGAAACACAGATTTACACATACACAGATATTAGAGACACATGCAATTTATACATATGAAAAACACAGACACCTAACCACAAAGAAGCACTTTTTCTTTCTTTTTTTTTTTTGAAACAGAGTCTCAATCTGTTGCCCAGGCTGGATTGCAGTGGTGCTATCTCAGCTCACTGCAATCTCCACCTCCCGGGTTCAAGAGATTCTCTTGCCTCAGCCTCCTGAGTAGCTGGGACTACAGGTGCATGCTGCCATGCCCAGCTAATTTTTTGTATTTTTGGTAGAGACAGGGTTTCACCGTGTTGGCCAGGATGGTCTTGAACTCCTGACCTCATGATCCACCCACCTCGGCCTCCCAAAGTTCTGGGATTACAGGTGTGAGTCACTGCGCCCAGCCAGAAGCACTTTTTCAAAGGAGGCTAAGACTTTTAATATGCCCTTGTCTTAGTCTCTTCAAGAGAGAATGGAAATTATCAAGCTCCTTCTGCTGCATATACTGTATAAAAGTAGATGTGGACATTACCAGAAGGATCTCTAAAAGATCTTGAGTTCACATGTGAGTATGCACACACCTCACAAACCCACATGCAAATGCACTTTCACATGCAGAGAATCAAAGACATAAAATCACGTGGAATCGCAGAAATAGAAACGTGCATAGACATGTATAGAAAGATAGATAGACAGACACACACCTCACTTAAATGTCAAACTGTAATATTTAAATGCATGTGTATTGAAGTTAAAAACAAAACCAAACCTGCATTTTTATCCCAGCTCTACCACTTACTAGTTCAATGATTTGGGGCCATTTTCTTGCCTTCTCACCTGTAACACAGGAGTAATATTAGCACCTATCTTTTAGAGTCATTTGAAGATGTAGTGAAATGAAGGGCTTAGCTCAGTGCTTAGAATGTCATAGATTCTGCTGCTATTGCTGCTTTATTGCAGCGTGTGTCTGTAGTCTCAGCTACTCGGGAGGCTGAGGCAGGAGAATCTATTGAACCTGGGAGGCAGAAGTTGCAGTGAGCCAAGATCGCGCCACTGCACTCTAGCCTGGGTATTTTTTGGTTTGGGTACAAAGTGCTTAGCTAGATAGGGTTTGATTTTTGTGGTCAAGCTGCATGATTATTTCGTAAAGATGTATGAATCAACTTTTTTTGTAAATGTATTAATAAACAATAATTATCCGGGTGTGGTGTGGCTCACGTCTGTAATCTCAGTACTTCGGGAGGCCAAGGCAGGTGGATTGCCTGAGCTCAGGAGTTCGAGACCAGCCTGAACAACACGGCGAAACCCCATCGCCACTAAAATACAAAAATAAATAAATAGCCAGGCGTGGCGGCGTGTCCCTGTAGTCCCAGCTAGTTGGGAGGCTGAGGCAGGAGAATTGATTGAACCTGGGAGGCGGAGGTTGCAGTGAGCCAAGACTGCGCCACTCCACTCTAGCCTGGGAGACAGAGTGAGGCTCTGTCTCAAAAAATAAATAAATAAAAAGAATAATTTATTAATGTAGTAATATAGATTATGTTCACAAACAAGGTCACTTCTGAGATTCTCAGTGATCAAAGGGATTATTACGGTCTCTAGCAAATGGAAAGACCCGAAGCAAATATTTCCTGCTAGTGTGGTTTGTTGTTGTTATTACTGTTGTTAGTGTTCTTTTCTTCTTTTCAGGAAGAGATGGAAGATGGAGAGAGCAGGGTGCAAGAAGAGGAAGAGGGCTTCACGCCCAGTGCACATTAGCCACCTAGTGACCAAACTGAGTAAGTACCGTATTTGTGGATTGCTCAGAAACGTTCCTTAACGTCACCCACTGCAAGGTTGGGTAACCACCCTGGTGAATAAGCATGTATACGTCAAGTTATAGCGGTTTCTGCTACATATCTAGAAATAAAAAAGTCATAAAATAAAAAGAAATCTTTGTCTCTAACTTTTCACCTTGCCACCCCGAATTTCCCTTTGGAATTCACTGAGACTCTGTTCTATAGCAGTGATCTTAATACTTTCTAATTATTTACCACCTAAAATCATTTTGGAAAATAATCAACTCCATTACACATCTTGAAATGAACATCTGAAATTTCTTATCATATGTTTAAATATTTGTAGTGTTATTATTTCCAGCATATTGTGAATACTCATACTTTTAAATTGATTTCATCAAATTTTTGCATGCATTCAACGAAATAAAAATACCATACTCATTTGATATTCATAATTGTTGGTTAAAAAAACATGAACAAAGTCTCCTTTAGCAGTCAGAAATTTCATGTAATTTTCTCTCTCCTTGAACTTGCCATTCCATTCAACTTCTCTACATAATGTATAGTAATGTCTATATTTTTAATGTTTAAAGGCCCTTTATTAGTCACCTTACCATACATGCCTGCAAAAAGCATACAAGAATTGAAATAAATTTTCTGCGACTCTAAGCCTCAAAAGATTAATTTATTAGTTTAGTTTAGTTTAGTTTAGTTTTTTTGAGATGGAGTCTCGCTCTGTCACCCAGGCTGGAGTGCAGTGGTGCCATCTCGGCTCACTGAAAACTCCACCTCCCAAGTTCAAGAACTTCTCTGCCACAGACTCCCAAGTAGCTGGGATTACAGGTGCCCACCACCACGCCGGCTAATTTTTGTATTTTTAGTAGAGATGGTGTTTCACCATGTTGGCCAGGCTGGTCTTGAACTCCTGACCTCATGATCCATCTGCTTCAGACTCCCAAAATGCTTGGGATTACAGGCGTGAACCACTGTGCCTGGCAAAGATTAAAATTTTTATCATAGAATTATTACTAGTACACACTTAATCCAAAGAACACAAAATATCACACATTTAGTAACTAGTAAAATGAAAAATAATTTGAGACAGAGTCTTGCTCTGTTGTCCAGGCTGGAGTACAGTGGCACCATCTCGGCTCACTATAACCTCCACCTCCCAGGTTCAAGCAATTCTTGTGCCTCGGCCTCCAGAGTAGCTGGGATTACAGGTGTGCACTACCAAGCCCAGCTAATTTTTGCATTTTTAGTAGAGATGGGGTTTTACCACGTTGGCGCCGATGGTCTTGAACTCCTGGCCTCAAGTGATCCACCTGGCCTCAAGTGATCCACCTGCTTCCGCTTTCCAAAGTGCTGGGATTACTGGCCTAGAATTAAACTTTTTAACAATATTTTATGAAAGAGTCTAAAAAAATTGCTAAATATAAAACTAGCACATCATTTTATTTTTGATAATAGGAGGTAGAAAATATAAAGGATATTTATAAAATGAAATGAAGATTGATTTTTTTTTTCTTTTTTGGAGTCAGAGTCTTGCTCTTTCTCCCAGGCTGGAGTGCAGTGGTGCGATCTCAACTCACTGCAACCTCTGCCTCCTGGGTTCAAGTGATTCTCACACCTTAGCCTCTGGAGTAGCTGTGATTATAGGTGTGAGCCTCAACACTTGGCTAATTTCTGTCTTTTAGTAGAGGCAGGGTTTCACCATGTTGCCCAGGCTGGTCTCGAGCTCCTAGATTCAAGCAATCCATCTGCCTTGGCCTCCCAAAGTGCTGGGATTACAAGCTTTAGTCCCCGCAGTTGGCCAATGATTGATTTTAATTGGAAAATATATTTTACAATACAGTCTGAGAAAACAGGTTCTAACAGGTTTAATAAAATGATCACATAATTTCTGAAATAAATCACGTAATTTCTTCTTTAATTAATTAAAATTTAAATTTTTAAATATTTTTGATACATTTGTACATACTTGTTAGGTACATGTGAAATTTTGTTACGTGCATAGAATTAGTAATGAACAAGTCGGTATTTAGGGTCTCTGTCACCTGAGTATTTATCATTTCTATGTGTTGGGTACATTTCAGATCCTCTCGTCTAGCTATTCTGAAAAACACAATAAATTGTTATTATGTATAGTCACCCTACTATGCTCTCAAACACTAGAACTTATTTCTTCTACTTTACTGTATGTTTGAAGCAATTAATAAACCTCTCTTCATCTCTCCCCTCCTGTCTATACACCTTTCCCAGTCTCTGATGTGTATCATTCTACTCTCTACCTCCATGAGATCAACTTTTTTAGCTCCCACATGTGAGTGAGGACATGCGCTATTCGTCTTTTTGTGCCTGGTTTATTTTACCTAAGATAATGACTTCCAGTTCCATCCATGTTGCTGCAAATGATAGGATTTCATTCTTTTTATGGCCCAGTAGTATTCCATGGTTCATATGTGCCATATTTTCTTTATTCATTCATCTGTGGATGGACACTTAGGTTGATTCCGTATCTTTGCTATTGTGAATAGTGCTTCAGTAAACATGGTAGTGCATGTATCCCTTTGATATGTTAAATTCTATTCCTTTAAATAAATACCCAGTAGTGGTATTGCCAATTTCTATACGTAAGTTTTACCAGTCTAAATAATTTTTTAGTACTAAAAAACAGTCCAGTTATATTGAAAAGAATCAATAGGGGGGAATAGGGAAGAGACAGTGGTGGGTGGGGAGTTGGGGAGAGATAGCATGGGGAGAAATGCCAGATATAGGTGAAGGGGAGGAAGGCAGCAAATCACACTGCCACGCGTGTACCTATGCAACTATATTGCATGTTCTTCACATGTACCCCAAAACCTAAAATGCAATAAAAAATAAAAATAAAAAATAAAAAAAAGAATCAGCGCCAGCAATATATACTGCAATTAGTTAGGAGATGCTTTTTTTCCCAGTTGATGACACATGTTAGTGAATAGTATTGAGAATAGCTGGAAAATAATGCTTAATTTTAAGCATGTGGGAAAAAATGGTGTTCTTAGGCAGATTCATTTAAGACAGAATACATGTGAGAGTTGAGAACCTGAAAGTAGATTCACTGATACTGTTTCTACTCAAGTACTTCTTGAAAAGAATTTGTGGGCCGGGCATGGTGGCACACACCTGTAATCCCAGCACTTTGGGAGGCCAAGGCGAGTGGATCACCTGAGGTTGGGAGTTGGAGACCAGCCTGACCAAAATGGAGAAACCCCCGTCTCTACTAAAAATAAACAATTAGGCAGGCGTGGTGCTGCATGCCTATAATTCTATCTATTCAGGAGGCTGAGGCAGGAGAATTGCTTGAACCCGGGAGGTAGAGTTTAGCAAGATCACACCACTACACTCCAGCCTGGGTGACAAGAGCGAAACTCCATCTCAAAACAAAAACAAAAACAAAACAAAAGAATTTGTGTAACAGTAGCCTACTTTGAAGACCAATGTTCTAGTCTGTCTCCTGCAAGATTGTTCCAGAAGAACAATATATTGTTGTAATTGTTGGAATAAACCATTTATTGTAGTTCATATTGACAATTGTGCAGTGGAAGTCACTTTTGAATTTCTGCCAGATGCTTCCGTGAGTGATCATGTTTGAGCAAAATTTTCTGGAAGGGATTTTGTTTCGTTTTGTTGATAAATATATATATTGACTGAAGTTGTTTTGTCCAATATGGGAGCCACAATCACATGTGACTGTTTAACATTTGAAATGTGGCTAGTACAAACAGATATGCTGTAAGTATAAAATACACACTGGATTTCAAGGACAAGACAAACAAAGTATTTCACTAATGTTCTATGTTGATAACATGTTGAAATAATATTTTGATGATATAGAATTAAATAATATATATCACTAAATTTAATTTTACCTGATTTTTAAACTTTTAAAAAATGTTGCAATGTGAAAATTTAAAATTACTTGTGAAGCTCACATTATATATATTAGATGACAGTGCTGGTCTAAAGTATATATAGGAAATCTCTCTAAGTTTCTCTAAAACCACTTCTGTGGAAAAAAAATTGATTTTCCACTAATCTGGTTCAGTATATTGCTATTCTGATGTAACCTGTGCCTTTTACTAGATTTTGGGTTTCCATGTTGGGGGAATTTTAGTAGTAAGCAGGAAAAAGTTTAAAAAGTAATATTTTATTAAGAATATTGGGAAAAAAGTCTTCTATTAGTACCTGGAAACTTTTCCAGTATGAACTTTGAAAGGCTTCTTGGTGGTTACATGTAAAGCTTTTCAAACTCTTCATAATTCTAGTGGTGGATAATGCATTCTATTGAAGACATGAAGTATTTAATCACATCTGAAATTTTTAGCGTAATTTTTAATGTAAAATTAAGAGAAAAATACACTTTCAGATAAACTATGATGTAATGCTTTCATATTTATAGAATTTTAATTTTATACTTACTAATGAGCTCTTTCAGACTTATTTAGATGTACATTTTTATTACATATCATGATATAACAACAACCATGACCAAATTTGAGCATACACAGGCAATGCCCACCCCCATTCAGCCACCTTCTGGCCTACAGTGACCGTAAAATGCCATTGATTATAAGATCCACTCTGATTTTAGTGATGTGAAATGTGATAAAAAAATGTATCCTAGAATTGATAAAATGCAGCAGGTCATTTATCAAGAGAAAAGAATCATGGAGGGCAGAAAGTCAAACTCGAAGACATCAGCCTAGTGAAAACATTTTTTCTATATATTATTGTATTTGCAAAACTTAAAATGTGATTCTCTTTAAACTTTTGTCATAGTCCTCTTAAATAACATTCCATTATGCATCTCATCATAATAGGTATTTCATGGTTTTCTTGGCATTCCATTAGTTGTTTCCTGGTTTGGAAGTGGGAAGGCTAGGGAAGAACGGTGACAGGTGGGGCAGGGCTGGGACAGACTGGATCTCTCCAGACTGAAAAGGTCTAGTATCCCATTG